GCATACTCTATAGCAATGGCATCCTGCTTCAAGCCTGATGATTGGAGTGCTTCAACTATGGATCAAATTCTGAAGGATGGTGACAGGTACTACATTGAGGCGGTATTGAAGATTGCTCGTGCCACGAAACAACAACCTAATTATCAATACCTCTACACTGAAGAAGTGTGTACGAGTTATCAAATTCGTAGCAGTCAAGTTGACTTAGAAATTACAGCTGTGGAATTTAATGTGGATCATCCTGATGAAGCCCTGCCTACCAAACTTAGAGCAGCTTTTACTAGTGAAAATTGCTTTGCTGTGCTCTTGGTATCATACGATGAAACTGTTGCTATTTGGAGAGATGGGACAGATTCTAACAAGTATTGGATGTTTGACTCTCATGCAAGAGACCAAAATGGTAAAAGACATCCTGAAGGAAAATCGTTTTGTGGATGCTTTTCATCACTTGAGCATGTTGTCCGTGCCCACTATGCTAGTCACCGTGACGCTAATGGACTTGTTGTATCCGGTCGATATGAAATATCCAAAGTGACAGTGACAGTCTGTGATGAGTCTCAATCAGTTCCTGCAGAAAATTTGAGGGGGGTTCTGAGACAAATATGGAAGAAACAGATCTACTTTCTAACGGAATGACATGTGACCAAGGTTCTGTGACTATTCCACCCAACGAAACTGAGCAAGCATCTACAAGTGCAAACAGGAGGAAGCGCACAAGAACCAACAGCAGATATACTCGCCGCCTCAGAAATTTAGCTGAAACTGAATTAGCCAGCATCAGTCATCACAATCAGTCAGACCCTGAAAAAGCTAAGCTCATCACAAAGTGCAGGATACTTGGCAACGGCAACCTTCTCAAAGATGTCATTAGAAGGTATGAATATCTGAAGACACAGATTCATGACTTGAAGAAGCTCTCTGTTCGTGAATTTCTGTCAGAAAAGAAAGTTTCAGAAGAATTAATTGCCATGGTGGAATGTGAAGTGCGCAACCATGATAAGCACCCAGCTGGGAATAGGTATAAACCCACAGACATAGAGCGAGCTACTGGTTATAAGAGCTCTGGTGGCAACAGTGGTTTGGAGTTTACAGGACAAATTAGTAAGAATCCTTCACGGCAAACTGTTCGCAGAGCAGTGAAAGGATTTGACTTTGAAATGGGTATATCTGAAGACACCCTTTGTATGCGTCATTTAAGATACCTGTTTCTGAGTTATGAAGAAAGGGCATTCAAGATGGTTGTTCTTGCATTTGATGAGGCTGCTGCAATCACAGAGCACCTGACACTACAGCCTGGAAAAGGAACTGTCCTTGGCTTTGCGGATTCGGGTAATGGAGACCGCCATCCTACTTTGGCAAACAAATTTTTCGTCATGCTTGCACAAGGACTTTTGATGGATTGGATGTTTCCTTGTGGCTTGATGCTTGTCACTGGTACTATAAAAGGTTGATCACTTGCTGATATTATCGTCAAAGCCACAAGTGCTATCCAACATTTAGGTGGGAATGTCATTCTCACAGTATGTGACCAATCAGCTCCCAACATAAAAGCTATCAAGACTCTAATGGCAAAGTTCCCTGTGATTAAAAATGGGAGTAGGTTGGAGAGCCAGTTTGAAGTTAGCGGCAAACCAGTGATTTCGACATATGATTCTACTCACATAGCAAAGTGCGTGCGAAATGCAATGCTTGGTGGTGAAGGGTCTGACGTTGTCACTGGATCAATAGAATGGCCTATTGACGTTGATGGAAGAGAAGTTATTCATGAAATGCCCTGGACTGAATTCGACAAGCTACGTGCTCTTCTTGGTAACGACTGGAAGCTTGTTGATAAGTTAAGCGATGCTCATATAACCCCCAACAAGAAGATGAAGGTAAAATATGCTCTTCAGATTTTTAGTGCAAAAAATGCCACATTGTTTCATAGAGCTGGAGATTTATTGTCCAACGCCAGCAAAAATGCTCAGGTTGTAAGAGAACTTGATTAATTGTTTGACTTGTGCGTTGGACATAGTTCCAGAGAGCCATTTGATACTATGAAAGAAGCAATAAAGCCAATGTCAGCTACTTCAATTCACATGAGAAGATTTCCAGTATACCTTGAGAAACTCAAGAAAGTCAAGTTTTATGCTTACAGAAGATGTAAGAATAATAGAACTGGACATGTAGAAGTTAAAAAGTTTCCATCTCTGTCAGTTGTGCCTCAAACTTGGCCTCATACAATCAAAGCACTCATCCATCTTTATGAATTGTTACGTGAGTTGAATATTGACAGTTGCAATATTCGTCGCGCATTACAAGACTTTCTGGAGTCCTTATTTGGCCGATGTAAGTCAGGCCGGAAAAATTCTACTCCACTGCAGATACTGGAAGGCTTGAAAGTAGCCTGCATCAGTCGTGTTCTAAGGCCCAAAAGCAGAGATACCAACTGTGATGAAGAAGGCAAGGTTTATACAGGCAGTTTGCAACCGTTTATGTCCTATGGAGTCAAGGATCAGGAATGCTAGGGACGAGATGGGAATCTAGAACCATCTGTTTGTGTACAGGGTATTGAGGAAAATTGTTCTGAAGAGGAGGTTATTGAGGAAGATGGTTCTGAAGAGGAAGACTTTCCTGTGTTGAGTCCTGAAGAACCAGACATACTTGACATACAAGAAAGACCTCAGACTGAATACGAGTACTGTGATGCAGTGAAAATGGCTGTTAAGGTCAACAAGCAAGTACTTAAGAGTAAGAGTAAATCCTGCAGCACATTGCTTTCTACAAGTAACCCAACCCAACTGCATTTCTTGGCCATCGAGATAACCAGTCTTAGTGTCAGCAGTCTGCTTCCATCTGAAAAACTTATTGATCTTGTTAGAGAAGCCAAAAAAATATTTCAGAATTTATGTCAGGATCACATACATGAAGATGATCCATTGTCAATGGTTAATAAGAATCTGACTGAAAATATTCAGTTGTCTTCCTGGTTCACTTGTGAAGCCCCTGGACGTTTCTCTAATGTCTTTCCGAAACTGTCAGAGGCGCTTGTCCGAGAGCACATCACATTTCTAAACAAGCAGGTGAAAAAAGGACCAAGAAGGAAAAATAGGGACCCGCATATTGTTCAAAATCTTGTTGCCAATTCTTTTGCGGATGATGAGGACTTGGCTCAGGAAATGGAGGAACAACTAGTTGATGACATTGATGCAATGGAGGGAGCCCAGCGGCAACCGAATAGCAATCCGCTGCTTCTTGTTCAATCTAGCTCATCTGTGGTTATTAAAGTCCTGCAATGTAAACTGAACCCTTACCTTAAATCAATACTTCAATTTTATCTACTAGGTAGATGTACGCCAGACCACGTCTCGCGTAACAGGCTTCGCGATATCTCACGAAACACTGTTGCGCTGCGACGCGCCTGGCATACATCTACCTAGGCCTGCGGCGCTGACACACGAGTCGGGTAGTGCAAAAGTGTACACAAAGATACGGGCCTCCGGCCCCTCAACGGCCCGTCACTTTGACTAAGCATGCAGGGTTGTACATTTTTTCGCTTATTTTCGTCAAAAACGCCCTCTAGCGCCTCAACGGTTAGAGATAGAGCCAAACGGATGAAATTTTCGCCCGTAGGGCTCTACTTTGATGAGTTACCCCTTAGGAGACTGTAAAAAAAATATTTTTAAAAAACGCCATTTTGGGGACCTGTGGTTTTCGATATTTTAAAAATCCAATTTTTGAGCTAGAATGCTCTTCTTCGAACTCGATCTGTCTTTTTATGATACAAAACGACCCTGAAAATCCCAGGTCGCCAGCTCAATTCGTTCTCGAGTTATCGTGCGCACAGACAAACACACAGACACACACACAGACAGACAGACAGACAGACAGACAGACAGACGCGAAACTTTTTGATCATCACTGGAGTAATAGGCTTCGCTACCGCTCAGCCAACAAGGTAGATGTACGCCAGACCACGTCTCGCGTAACAGGCTTCGCGATATCTCACGAAACACTGTTACGCTCCGACGCGCCTGGCATACATCTACCTTGGCCTGCGGCGCTGGCACCCGAGTCGGATAGTTAGAAAATGTACACAAAGATACTTGCCTACGGCACGTCAACGGGTCGTCATCTCGACTAAGCATTCGGGGTAGTACATTTTTCGCTTATTTTCGTCAAAAATACCCTCTAGCGCCTCAACGGTTTGAGCTACAGCAAAACGGACAAAATTTTCGCCCGGAGGGCTCTCCTTTGATGAGTTACCCCTTAGGGAACCATACAAAAAGAATTTTTAAAATACGTCATTTTTGGGACCTGTTGTTTTTGATTTTTTTAAAATCCAGTTTTTGAGCTAGAATGCTCATCTTCGAACTCGACCTATCTTTTCATGCTACAAAACGACCCTAAAAATCCCAGGTCGCTCACTCAATTCGTTCTCAAGATATCGTGCGGACAGACAGACAGACAGACACACAGACAGACAGACAGAAAAAGTTTTTTCCGACCAGACGGAGTAATAGGCTTCGCTAATCGCTCAGCCAACTAATATTTTTTATATCTTTGTCTAGGTATCATCTGCTGCATCTAGGGCCTTAGAAGTTGCTTCTTCAACAGGAACATCTACTGGTATCCCAATTCGTACAGTCCAACCTATACTGCGAGTTGCAACCGCCCATTACACAATTGGTACATCTTAGGTTCTCTTTTTCTTTTGACATTTTTCAGAGAGTACTGAATCTAACTTGAGGTTATTTGAACAGGTGGATGTTCAATGAGTTTAGCATCACCAGCCACAACTCTGCTCTTGAGAGCTGCCACTCCTCAGTCCAAGCAGTCCATTCAGCCCCCAGGACAACCAGGTCAAAAAGTAACTCCTGTCAAAATAGGCAATCGTGTACCGCTGGCTACGGTAAGTCTCTCTTCAGTTCTTTACATATATCTCAGCTGCTCAAAGAGTAAATTCTAGATTCTAAAATTTTTATTGATTTTTTACAGATGCCTAAAACGTGCCTTGTGCCCACTAAAACAGCAAGTAGTATCCGTATCCAAACTTTTCCGACTAGAAAAGTTGACAACCCACAGGTCGTAACTTGCTCAGCACAAGGTGCTGCACTCCAACCTGGTAGGGTCCTTCCTCAAGGTTCAAAACTTGTAACAATTATCCACAATGTGACAGGTATGTAAAGTTAACTTTTAATTGTCGTCCCATTGTGGTTGTGATAATTTGCGATTAGAGGTTTGACTGGTTCCAGGTAAACGTACCAGTCTAATTGTGAAATCTGGTGCTGCCCCTCCGGCCGGTTTAGGAAGAGGTGGTGGACTAAATATCCAAAGTGATGCTTTGAGAACAATGCAAACAATTAATAGCCCACAAGCTGGCCATGGTACAGGTAATGTTAATGTAGCAAAACCTTTAGTAGCAAGCAGTCATTTAAAAACAGGATCAACTAATCTAATTTTGCATAAAGGTGTTTGTTGTGTTCAGGTCAGTCCTGGCGAACCAGTTGCTGAAAAGACTGGCGTGTCAAATGATGGTGAGAAGAACATTACTCAGGGAATGGGGCCAGAACTGGTTGATGACAGTGGTGTCTTTGAAGAAATAGAGGAAGCAGAGCAACAATCAAAACGCAATCCTCAAATTCTTCAAGAACTAATGGATTTTTGTGGTATATCTGAGGATGTGGAGTGAAAGCATCAACATATATGGCAATTTAATTCATTAGGAAGAAAATTACTGAAGTAAAATTAATTTACAGTTTTTGGGCCACAGTGAAACCATAAGCTAATATGCAGATGCATGGTGAATCTGGATCCCTTTGAATGACTTAACTCCTAATTGAATAATCTAATCTATCTTCTCAAAGTACTTATCAATAATTTACAGTTTTTGGGCCACAGTGAAACCGTAACCCTGTGTAATATGCAGGTCCATGGTGAATCTGGATCCCTTTGAATAACTTAACTCCTAATTGAATAATCTAATTTCCTTGTTAAAGTATCTAAAATAATTTACAGTTTATGGGCCACAGTGAAACTATAACCCTGTGTAATATGCAGGTGCATGGTGAATCTGGATCCCTTTGAATAATGTAAACGCAATCTAACTGAAAGTCATGAATTTTTTTTTGCTAGTATTGCAAAACTGTAGAAATTCCGGCTCATGTGAGCGACGGTTGGGTCTCAAAATTTACTGTCACTCGAAGCAGTAAATACCTATGCCCACCTCCTCGTGGTGGGACCTGGAGTGAAATGAGATTGATTGTTATATCATTGTCACACTAACGGGCAAGGTCAAGTCTTTTTAAATATTTTTCGTTTTCTTGGAGAATTGTGCTCTGCCATTCAACAATTTTTGTAAGTATTGGAAATTATAGTTGAAATGAAGATTATTCTGGTGTAATTCTATTTTTCTTTTCCAGAGCATAGGGCAGTCTCTCTTCTTTTCATCAACAGAGCGTTCTATTTTAAATGCCAGACTAGAGCAACTGGGATTCACAAATCAAAAATACCTAGGACTCTTGAATCCTATTTTTACTACCTGCATTACGTAGCATGGGCATTCATTGTTTATTTTAAACATTTCTCATATTCGTAACATTTCACAATTCTTTTTCAAGTTCTAAAATTCATTTGTATGCTGTAATGGAATGAGATAATTCATCATTTGTTGGCATTGTTAGTTAGTGTATAGAATAGGGTATGGGTATGAAGTTCTCATATTTTTAGCCCACTCTTCTGCTTTGTTCAGTTCAACGGTATTATTCTCCTTAGTAATGACTGTTTCCATTTTGTTTGCAGATGTCGTGGCTATTGAGAATGGTGGGGTTGGGTGGGAAGAGAGATTCTACTGATGATGATACAAGCGATGATGAAGGCAAAACAAATTTGGAAAAAAAGGATGAAGAAAAGGATGAAAAGAAGGATGAAAAGAAGGATGAAAAGAAGGATGAAAAGAAGAAGAGAAATGAAAAGACGAACAAGGCTACTGCAACGGACACGGAATCGGACTCGGATGGGCAAATCGAAGAGGAAGTTGAAAGGAGGGTGGAGGAAAGAGTGAAGGACATGCGGAGGGAATGGTTGAGGAAGGAGGCCAAGTGGCGTGAGTATGTTGAAAAGGAGGCCGAATTCAGGGTGGAGGCCGCCCAGCCTGCCCGACCCCAGTACAGGTAAATGTAACTTTCGACTCTTACTTCTTGCACGCTACTTGTCTCCTCACTAGTGTGACTTCAAAATCTGGAAAAGGCCTCATTTTAAAGGGATTTTGAGATTTTCATTAGCATTTGGCTTCCCTCCTAGTTCTATATAAAAGTCACAAAATTCAGATTTTGTAGAAAGAATACTTTTAATATTTGAAACTTTTACAGTTTTAAAAAATATTTTTTCTTCAAAATCCGAATGTGGTGAATTTTATTTAGAACTTATGGGGTAGCCCACTGCTTATCTAACTAATCTTAGTCCCTTTAAAATCATCCCTTCCCTAGATTTTTATGTCACACCATTGAGGGGACAAGCTGCTTGCAAGAAGCAAGAGTGGGAAAGCTAGCAGACAGTGCACTGGTAAAATAAGTGTTCAATTTTGCACGTCAATGGATGGTTAAGTCCAAGTGTGCATTTTCTAGACAAATTGTGGTGTCTAACAAGGTTGGTGTTTGGTGTTTAAACTTTCGACACTTCCGAAATGATTAGCAGCTGCACACCATATGGTTCCTACTGATAGCATAGAACTATGTGTGCTGAAGTGTGCAGAATTTCAACGTTTACAAAACGTCTCAAATTTGCAGACCGTGCAAGTGTGCAACTGGAGTTAAACACCATGTAATGTGCAAAATCACAACTTGCATACGTTGGCGTGCAAATTTGGCACACTTGTTTTACCAGTGTAAACACTTCAAATCCTTCAAAATCTGAATGGGTTGCAAGTATATGTGTCAGTTGCGGTATGAAATGCCTTTAAGGGTCATCATAATCCAAAATGACAAAGTTTCAGTGTAGCCTCCCCTAAATGGTCTTAACAGCATGTCATTACAGACAATTGTGTTCTTTAGTTTAGAAGTTTGCATGCAGGATTTCTCCTGCAAAAATATATTGAGATATCTGCCTGCAAGTTTTTTAAAATTGGCATCACAACTGCTAAATCGACACAGAAATTTGGTTGTATCTTGTTCCGAGGATTTGTTATTGTTAGAGCTAGGTGGCTAGCTAAACCAATGGCCTGGCTGTCTTAAAGTAGGTTTAGCCAGCCTTCTAGCTTTAACCATAACATATTGCCTGATTGACTTTTTTTGTTTTTGTTTTCAAGAAAATTTATATGCATTTTTGTAAGTATACAAGATCTAACCAAAGCGCTGTGTCAATTTGTAGCATTGGTGATGTTGATTCAAAACATTTTTTATAGAGATTTCAGTCAATTCTTGCCTATTCTTTATATTTAAATTTACATTCTTTTCACAGACCTCACTGGCAAAACAGGGCACCCCCAGGGCTGCCCCATACTTCCACCAGCAACCACCTCAACCACGACTTCATCCACCGACGCCACCATCACCACCATCATTTCTCACCAGACGTAGACAGAGACCTACCCGAGACAAGCGGACAGACCAAATGAAAAGAGTAAGTTTTTAGCCCACCCTTCTGCTTTTAAAAAAGCATTATTATGTTGGTGCTCGCTCTTTGTATATTTGAGATCAATCAGTTACACTCACTACCACAAATTTTTGTTAAATTGGTGATAAAGAATGAGTAAACTCTAAGCACAAAATTAATTTTGTGTTTTGCCTTAGTAGTATAGGTTCCCCCTAGTCACCCGGCGCCATCTTGGTTCCCCCTAGTCACCCCGGCCCCCAGTCACACCCCTAGTCACTCCACCCCGAGTCACCCCGGCCCCAGTCACTCCACCCCTAGTCACCCGCCCCCCAGTTTCCCCGAGTCACCCCGGCCCTAGTCACCCATCGCCATCTTGGAGGGCACTCCCGGGTCGAGAGGGCTTAACGCACCGCGAGGTGGCCGTCACCGCGGAAGCCACCCGGGGGCCCACCGCCCGGTCGAGGAAGCCGCCGAGGCCGCGCACCGGTTAGAACGCGTCTCGGGCTCGCCGTCAAGGTGTCCGGGTCCCGCGCACCGGTTAGAATGCGTCTTTACCGCGAGGACCCCGCGCGCGAGGTAGTCGCCAAGGAGTCCGCCGTGGCCGTGCACCGGTTACAACGCGTTTGCCCGGGTGGAGCCGGCCAGGGTGGTGGAAGCGCGATGGCCGATTGATCTAAGAAGACAAGAGTGGTTCCCAGGGACTTAAGACACGCGCGCGAGCGCGCCTCCGCGGCACCGCCGCGCTCTGCCGGTGAATTACCGTACTACTCGATTAATTAGATGTACAACATGTCCAGGCTTGCTCGCCGCGCGGGCCACCGCGCCGCCGCCGCGGCGCTACCCCGCGCGCGTCGGCTGCTGGCCGTGCCATGCCGCGCCGCCGGGGTCCCCTCCTCACACCACCACCCCCTCCTCCGCCCCTACTCCACTCGATCCGGCTCAAGCTGGCTTGGCAAGCGCGCGAACGAGTCCTCCCCACTCCTGCGTCGTCTGCTCTACCTGCTTTTGAGGGTACGGATTACACTATGAGATCGAACAAAGGTTCGCCCGAGCTGACACAAAGTGTAATTGAATTTTTACAAACATCATTACACATCTTCAACACGCAATCGTTGAAAATTCGGTTGAAGTGCCAATAAGCACTTGACCCCCTCCCCTCCCGCCCCGCGCAGCAGGGGAGCAGGACGCGGCGCGCCGTCCCCCGCTCCAGCTCAGTCGTGCGTCAAGCGTTGGTGGAGAAGTGTGTCGTGTCCCGTATGTCGTACGTCTTAAAAATCATGTCTGAGCGCCGCTGCCTGGAGGCTGACCTCCACCTTTCGGATGAAGAGACGATGGAGCCCTTGGTGCTCAGTCAAACGTCTCAAGAATCCAGTTGCTTTGATCTACAGCTGCACCCCTCGGGGCTGATGTATGATAATGAGGTAAGTGTTTGATTCGCTGTGCGCGCCAAATCTTTGTTGCATCATCCTGTGATTTCACGCTATGACGTCCCCCGTAGCGTCGCCCACCGTAATTCTACGCTACTCTGTGTTGATCACGAGTGTTCTTTCATTCAATATAACCGCGAGTGCTTAACCTTGCGTCCTGCCGGTTCGCGCCAGTTGAGGTTAGGAGTCCTTTGTCTCCCCGCCGGCGTCGTGCTCGCCGCCGCCCGCCGGCGTCACTGTTTGGTCACGGTGTGTCCTGCCTGCGTCACGTAGCTGTAAATTCAGTGTTCAATCGAGTGTCCTGCGTGACGAGCTCAGCTCGGCGCGCTCGCTGTTGCCGTGTCGTGTGCCGCTCGCGGCCGCGGACTGGCGTAAGTTGGCCGGTTGACCGTTCGCGTCTCTCATTTTGTTCCTCATTTACTGATTCTGAGGTTAGGCCTTTGCCGATTTTATTAAGCCTTTGACCATTTATTTGTTAAACGTCACGATTTCTTTGTCACGACGCCAATGGCGTCCCCTCGCACAGTGGGAGATTTGACCTCAAAATTGCGACAAAAGTCAAAAATCTAAACTTTAGAATCAACGGATTTTTCTGTTTGATAGCGGTAGATGACACCTAAAGTCACCATTTCCCTTCACTTCCACTTCACTTCGATCGCTTGTGTTTCGGTTAGGATGTGTTTAAACCGACCCCTGCGCTTGCCTCCGCTCACTCGCCCCGTCAGTAGCTTTGGTAAAATGCTTCGAAATTGAGAAAAACACGGTCTATAAGTGACATTTCTTGGTAATTAAGAGTTGGGCAACATTTTAAGTCTCATCAATCATATAAAAGACTTCAGAATAGGCATAAATCATAATCAAAAGTTAGGATTTGGAGGTTAGGGGTAATCGTATTTTCATATTGAGTTATAATTTGAGTTCCGCAGAGTTCCACTCTAACTCTTGCACCAAATGGTAGCTACGACACTAATTAACGTATCCCGCTTGAGAACAGGTGCCACAAGCTGCCACCTTGGCGATGCTGAGCATTCAAAAATGGCCTTTTTGGGTGGAAGTGTCCGGCTGGCTCTGCCAAAAATGTGCCACAACATGTAATATGGTTGTGTTTGAACACGTGAACAAACTTTTAGCTGTTGCTGTACGGCGTTCATAGAAACAGAACCGAAAACTTGGCAATTATAGCAACTTTTTGGGGGTGGGGTGGGTAGGGTGGACCAATTTTGCACTTTTCCGTACTTTTCACTAATTTAGCAGGTTTTTGATGACATTGCCCCAGAAAACTCCGTAATTCCGAATTATATGCCGATCGTGGAAAGATTTGACTTTTGTCGCGATTTTGAACCTAAATCTCCCACTGTGCCTCGGTCGGTGCGCGGGGATTCCTGGAAATGGGGTGGTGGTGGGGGAGGGGACGCTCTCGCTGCTCAGCGCGCTACCTCTCTCGCACTCGCGACACAAAGTAACGATGTTTTCTACGTTTCAGCAATATTGCGACCCTGAAGTGGCCTTGCCCCGGCCTCTGGAGGACGCAGAGCTGAAGGCAGAGACCGCAGGTGCTGAAGGCCATAAGGAGCTCCAACCCGCCCACCCACTATCCCTGCCCGACCTCTTCTGTGAGGAGGCCTGCGACGCTGTAAGTACAAATAGAGCTTGGCCAGCGAGGCGCTTTTTACTGTGCGTAGCTAATTATCACTGATTGTTTTAGTTTTCAACGCACGAGCTCGGGGAGACCGAGGACGTTGGGTGCACCAACGATGAGCCGCCCCATGCCCATGCTCGTCAGGACCAACACCATGACGATGACCCCCCAGATAAAGTTTTTCGGCGTCGGGTGGCGCGCCGCCATATGACCACTGCCCGCACTCAACCCCCT